AAACCCCCAAACCCTAAGTCCTAAACCCTAAACTCCAAACCCGGCCCCACAACTCTAAGGTGGACTCCGGGCACGGCGATCAAGACCATCCTGGTTTGGCAACAGCCCTGGTGCCACACTCAGAGTTCGGGGGTTGGGGTCGTAGCTTTATGGCTGGTTTCGGGTAATGGTTTTAGGGGTGGGGGTGTAGTAGGGTGGGGTTGCAGGGTTGAGTGGTTCAGGATTTAGGATTGGAAGTGTGGGAGTTTAGTTCCTTTTGAGGATCTGGGCTTAGGCTAAAGGGGGGCTACGTTGAGCATCGAGGGGCTTTGGGGAGTTGAGGGGTTTCGAGTTTAGGATTGGGAGTTTCGTGCTCCCTGAACCCTCATAAACCCTAAACCCTTTTAGGGCCCTTTTCAGGATCTGGGTTTAGGGTGAAGAGGGGCTGGGCTTATTAGCAGGTTCTAGGTTGGATGGCCCATGGCCGCTGATGATTTGCCGACTGAACACAGGGGCCCTAATAGTTAGAATAGGGTTTGAGGGTATGTTATATTATAGTTCTAGTAAGGAACCCCAAAATAGTATAGATAATTTTTAAGGCCACTATAGTAATGTGTCAGTATGAAGTTCCCACATGTACGAATGGTCGCCGGAAACAAGAATAGAACTCAACAGAAAGATCAGCAGTGAGGTAATGTTTCTGGTCACTGCGCGTGCCTTCGCAGTAAGGAATAATTAGAGGAATGAGCAAGCTGAGTTGTAAGCTCAAATGCATGCGTTCCTTCGTAGACTTTAGATTTCCATGATACGATAGTCTCAGTTCGTCTTGTGCGTTGTTTTTGCGTGAAAAGCAAAAACTCCTAAGAACGCCGACTGCCACAAGAGAACCCGCAGCGGCGAAAAATCTGTTTAGTCGACCATAACCTACCTCAGTGGAGGGTGTCTGTAAGTCCCAACCCCAATTCAACCCTGAACTATCACCCTAGAATCCGAAAGCGAAGAATTTCGGAGGCCTTAACCGTGACATGGCTAGTTCTCTATATTATGTTCGGGTCTCTTTTGAGGTCCCCAAAGTAGTACGGCACCCTTGTAAAAAGGACCCTGAAAGGGACCCTAGTTTGGAGAACTACCCGCAACCCGAACCTTCTTATAGTACCCTTATAGAGCCCTGAATGGAACCCTATAAACCCTAAGTTCCGAAAAGGGACCCTAGTGTAGAGAACCTTATAGTATAGTACCCTTACAGGAACCCTTAAAGGAACCCTATAAACCCGAAAAGGACCCTAATTTAGAGCACTACCCTATCATATGCTCTTCATACACTACTCTCTCTCTCTCTCTATATATATATATATATGCATATCTATATCTCTATATATATATATATAATATATATATATATATATATATATAAATATAAATATAAATATATATATGCATATGTATATGTATATATATATATATATGTTTCTATTTTTATATGTAACCTGTCTTATACCGTATATACCGAAGTTTGGTGCTCAAGACCCAGGTGGACTCCGTCTCGGCTCTCCGGACACATCAGCTCCCCGAAGGATCTTGGAATAAGACTAGTAGGGTTTAGGGTTTAGGGTTTGGGGTTTAGGGTTTTAGGGTTTTAGGGTTTGGAGCTAATTACCAAAGCCCCCGAGCGCCACTCCACCGACGCCGGTGAGGCGCGCACGCCCCCACCGTTGCCACCTGCGACCGGTAGCATTGCAAATGCCGTTCAGGGATCTTTCGGTGATTTCGGAGGGTGTGGGTTGTTTTTGCCCAATGTGCCACCACCGCCACCGCTTCCGACCCATATGCCGGGTGAAGCTGGGATCGCCATGGCCCCACGGGAGCATCGGCCCTTGGACACGAGCGCCACGTACAGGCGTTGCCGAAACTTGAGGATTACACCCCGGACCAGGGAGCAGTGATCTTAGTAGGTTGGATTGTTACGGTTACTCCAGTTGTAGATGTTTTGCCTTCCGGAGCGGAAACCTCGTTTGCTGAAGTTTTGCAGAGGGTCAGTGATAATTACAACAAGCGGTTATCTTCGGACCCGGTGGCTCGGCTTTCGGTGAGGGCTGAAGCGATAGCTGCGGGAGCTTTGTGGGCAGCAGATCCTCGGCACATGATGCTGGAGCAGAGGATGGCGTCTCTGCTGTTAGATGCGGTCCCTCAACCCTAAACCGGTATAGTAATCCTGATTCCTGAACCCTAAACCCTCAAAGTAACCCTCATAAGAGCCGTCATCGCCTTATAGAAACCCTTATCCCTACACCCTCAGCCGTAAGCATAACTCTTTTAGGAGCTCCAAACCCTAAGCCCTTGTAAGACCCTTCAGAGGATATCTTCAACTCCGTCATGGCGGGCTCCTGCGCTGAGGGCGCCTGGGCTCCCATCTCTCGCAGCCCCCAAGGTTTTTGTTAAAGAAAATCGGTGCCAAGGCAGTAATAATGGTAATAATAGTAATAATAGTAATAAT